TTTTTTTTTTTTTTTTTTTTTTTTTTTTGTCTTTCTCCTTTTATTATAGAATAATGGGTTTTTTAATATTTTAAAATTTAAAATTTGGTGGCATGCTATTTTAATATCTTTGAGAAGATGTTATTACAACTAAAATATTATTAAATAATAATTAAAATCTGGTTAGTTGAAGTATCGAATATTTACAAGTCACAATACATCATTAATATGCAAACATTATTTAGACAAAAAAATTTGATTTTGCGGAGACAGGATTTGAACCCAGGAACGAATTCACCACCGTATGGCTGGACTAGCGATTACTAGCGATTCCGGCTTCATGCAGTCGAGTTGCAATCTACAATCCGAACTGAGGACAGGTTTTTGGAGTTAGCTCACCTTTGCAGGATCACGATTTGATCCATAATAAAAAAAGTGTTTGTGATTGTTTCAGAAGAAATGAAACAAAAGATACGGAAATATTTTTAAAAGTACGGTAGGATTGAGATTGGATTGTATAACAGTCGAAGCCCATCGCTAGCAAATATGCAATGGAGAGAGTTTAGCCATACTACCACAAGTGACTCACCATTTGGTAACTAGCTATGGTACTATTTGTAACGGCTCGAATTCTACTCCTAACAGATATTGTCATCTTTGGGCTTCATCAGTAGACGCGTTTTAAAACATTGAGAATAAGCTCTTGTAGGAAAAGTAAAAAGACGACAATATCTACTAGCAATAAACTTGACTATTACAGACTGTAACCTATATTCTCGTTGGTGGGTTGACCTAATAGAAAAATGTCAACCTACCAATCGAACCAATTTTTTATCTTTAAAAAATTCAACCCAACCAAAATAAAAAATTAGAAAGGAAACAAATGTTTATTATTATATATTTTATTAGCCGGAAACACTATAATTAAATTATTTATATTAATTTAAATATTAATGTTAATAAATGTTGTTGAATTAATATAAATATTAATGTTATTAAATTTTGTTGAATTAAATCCAATCCACTTTGAGAAGGTTAATTAAATTTTACTTTTCCACATCTCATTTTTACTTTTTACAATTTACTCGTGAATTTATGGTCTCAATCAATGAACCATTCATACTATTATTTTAAATATATACAATAACTATTATTAATTTTATTTAATTCAATATTTCAAAATAAATAAATAAATTTTATTATTATTATTTTCAATTTACTAATGGTTTCATCTTAAAAAAAAAAAGGAAAATGGATAATTTTTTTTAATATTAACTTCTAATTATTTTTATTATCAAGGGTATATAAATTCATCAATTTCTCTAAAATTTTAGAAATTCTAATTTGTTCCATTATTAATGAGTTTTTTTAAGTTAAATAATAATAATAAATAAATAAATAAATAACTTATTTATCTCTTTTGTTCATGCTAATATAACAATAAATAAATAAATAAATAATAATAAAATACAATATTGATTTAAATCATCTCGAACTATATAGATATAATTCTTCTTAATATTGATGTGACAAGCTAAGAACGTTAAGTCTCGATCTAGTTTAGATATATAGTTTTTGCGAATATGATTTTAAAAACGCTGATTCGGTTCTAAATCACTATTGTTCTTTACACCACTTTATTAAATAAATATACTTGGGCAAGTACCAACATTCTGGTATAATCATATTATGAGTTAGGAGATGTAGTTATGGGTCGATTCTCATTGCAAAATATGAATAAACACAGCCGATCATAATCATTTGAGACCATAATTTTTAAGATTTTGACTTCGACATATTCACCTTTATAAAAATACAAATCGGAGAGGATAAGAGAGCGATAGAGATAATTTTGGTGTTATTATTATTTTTAAAATTTTCATGTCAATATTAAATTAATAAAAAAAAAAAAAAATTACTCGAGGGACCTTTTAAACCTATTTTTCAAAATTTACAGACTAAAAGGTAAAATTTTCTAAACATGTCACAACTCGACTTTTAAGTTTTCGAATCTCGAACTGTGACTTAAGAGATGAAAGTGAATGTAAATAAAAATACAGTAAAATTTAGCTTAGATTTTGAAAACGTGTTTAAATAATAAATATTAAAACGAAGAGATATGTATTTATAGACTTAATTTACAAAAACTAAGGTTTCGAATGAGACCAAAATTTTCGAACCTTATCCTAATACGAGCTCAACTAGTTAAGACATATATTCTAATACGAAGAGTTAGATTGTTTCACTTTAAATGTTGAACTAAAAAAACGTCTAATGCATATAAAAGAATCGAATCCTTTTAAATTAGTGGTTCATAAATTTTAAAAAATGTCTAATAGATCCTTAAACTTTTAATTTTGTGTCTAGCAGATCCCTGACCAAAATAGAAATTTAAGGGTTTAACTTTAATTGTTTAAAAAATACTGTATACGGTCTTGCTTGTCCAGTACGTGTTTTCCATGGTCGCATGTCTATTCCAAACATCTTTTACATGTTTCTATCCTAGGTAGGTCTTTACCATTTTAAGTTGGATCAATACGAAGGTGTATGACTGTTCACCAAAATCATGTCTACAGTCGCGAGAGTTAAAATGGCTCAAAATATACTACAGATAGATATGACTAGTTGTGACTTCTTCCTATTTAAGGTGTGATATTTATTTATTTGGTTATAGTCATATAACATTGTTTTCTGTGTGGAAAAAAAGAAATTATTTTTTAAGATTAAAAATTCACCAAATTGAATTAAATACAGAAATTAATGTTATTTTGTCGACTTTTGGTGGATCCATCCACGGGTCTAACACGCCACTCATTTTCCACACCCAATTTTATTTAATGATTTATATATATATATATATATATTTGTGATGACATTTGAATGAATAAAATAATTATAAGATGCCAACAGATCGAAACCAAGATGAACAAAACTGAAAATTGAT